TGTTGATTAATGCACTGTTAAAAGATTGCACTCTGGTAATAATTTAATACTTATACTGATAAAAAAAAAAGCTACTGCGAATTAACACTCATTGGAGGTAACATCACAATGAAAATCTGTATTTAGTGAGCACTGGAATAGGACCAGATGCATTACTGGTGGAAGGGCTAGTTATTAGATCGAGTTCATACCATCTCTGGTTCAATACTCATAATCTTTATTTAGAATTCTACCTGGTGGCCACAAAAGCAAACGTCTAAGGTCATGACAGAAGGATTTTATGACAGGAATATTCTCTATCGAATGTGCCGTTGATGCAACTCGATCGGGGACCATGACCCAACGGGGTCCAGGCATTGGGTGGAGACCATGCATTGTACCTGTGGGTCCATGCCAGCCACTCAAGGGCACTGCTCGTAAAATTAAGTACCGTACCAGTACACTCTGGCAGGGTATAACAAAGCACCACCATCAATCGTCCCAACACCCATTTTTAATCAACTGCTGGATGACGCACGCGGCCACCACGTGATCAGTCATTGCCCCACCTCCCGTCTTTTCAGCTGCCAGGACAAACCCCAACAAAGGAGACCGCCCCAGCTACCCACGCAACCTCCAAGTGCTGCATCTCACATTCCATCCACGCGTTTGTGAAGGCGATGCCCGGCACAACAGTATTTTGTTGGGCTATATACGCTGGCTCTGAGATTTAATGCACTGGACTTGCAAATCCAGAGGTTGCCGGTTCAATTTCCACAGAGCAGCTGTTGAAGCAAACGGGCAGCTTTATTGGGTCGTGTGTGGTGGGGTGAAGTGTGGGTACTCTCACTTCTTCACAGATGTCTAAGCCAGCGTGATACGTTTGATTTAGCTGGAAGGGGCGCATCACACATGCGATACATGACAGCCCTGCCTAGTTCATAAATGTGAAAATACCTGCCCCCACCACCACCACATACCTGTCAACCCCTTTTCAGTGCCCTACCTTATTACAGACCAATTCAGGACCTTATTGGTCACCCACGTACTCTTAGAAATCTCAACGCTCATCCGACAAAGTCCCATCATAAGGGAGAAACACAAACAAACATACAAAAAAACATTGTTTTGCTCATTTTCCCTTTACAAGAAACACGGGTACAACGTTTGAGTTGACAGGTATGTCATCGTCCTGTCAACCCCCAATGGTTTCAAATGTGTGGCGGCCCTCACACTCATAAGGTCTTATTGGCGAAAATGCCCCCCGCCCCCCCTCTCAAAATTAGTGAAGAACACTGCGCTACAACATATAATTGTTCTGCACTACATATGACGGGCAAAATCTCGATACCCTCACCTGCAACATAACAGCTTTTGAGACTTATGTACAAGCGCATGCTGAACTTCTTTCGCACCGTACGTAGCCAACCGTGCTAGTCGGAGGTGCGGGAGAGAGGGGCATGGAAGCTCACTCAGCCGATGACCAAATCAACCGGAATGTGACCGAACTCATCAGACCTAAGGAAGCTAAGCAGGATTTTTCTGGGGGGAGACTGGATAAGGCTCGGATGGAATGATCACCAACCGTGCGGACACAAGACAGAGGTGCTCGACTTGGGCGCTGTGGGCAGGAAGAGGTTCAATCTCGATTTGAAGCTTACGTGACTGTAGGCATCCATACTCTTTGGTTATTTCGGTAAAGTCACGTAGGTAGAAAAATAAAATAAAAAATAACATATCACGACGTTTCGATCGCAACACAAGTGGTCGTCCGCAGGCGGAAAAAATAATCCAGCATTGAGGACGACCGCTTGTGTTGCGATCGAAAACGTCGTGATCTATTGTTTTTGTTTTATTTTATTTTTCTACCTACGTGACTTTACCGAAAGAACCAAAGAGTACAGTAAGAGGTTGCAGGAAAATCCCACGTTCTTCTGCACTCACCCCCCAAACCCACCCATCCCCCCACACACACTCGCCCAATCATCACTGCTGACCAGCGTGCTGAAGTATGGTCAACAGCCCTGCAAGGCAAGGCGTGCCAATTGACTACTGACTGTGGAGGCTTTGTCAGCCGCTGCGTTGCACGCTGACTTTGGGGGGGGGGGGGCTTCGCCATCCAGATGCGCTTCTGCGGCCGTCTGGAACGCTCTTCCTTCCGATCGTAGGAAGCCACCGGAGAGCCGTGCACTTAAAAAAAATCATCACCGAGATTGACAAACTTGATTTCTTTGGAATTGCTTTTTGTGTGTTGAGTTCGATGTCCCTCTCCACACCTTCGATTAGCACGGTTGGCTACGTACGGTGCGAAAAAAGTTCCACATACGTACATAAAAAGGGTTGTTTTGGGGGTGGGGGAGGGGGTTCGATCGAGCAAATATAAATGTGTCGTTAAACCCGCCACCACCCGACACAGCCAATAAGTAAAGGTTTGCTACGTAAATGCGATCCATTCCTAATGTGCCACATAAACAAAACGTGCAAATTGGCTACTTCAGCACACGTGTGTTGAGAGAGTAAACTCACGACGTTTACAATTAACCATCTAACCCCAATGAAACACAACCCTTTTGTTGTGGGCTAGACCGGTTGCCAAAGTGTTTCAAGGTGTTCAACAAACGCACTGTGCTGTAATTGCCGGCAGCAGCTCTGCAGAACTCCACGTGGGGGCCAGCCGACGTTCCGCACCGCCACCCTAAACGCGATCTACCCAGTGGGCCTCGCCCATCCATCGGCTCCGTTTCGTTCCCAATCGCCCACGGTTTATCGTCGATTAATTCTCCCCTTTCGGCGGCCTTGCTCAATCCACCACTGGATGAGTTCCTCACTGCCCCCCCCTCAACCCCCTAACGCCACTCACCGCCACCGAGAAACCTTCACAGAGTTTGTTTGGAGGGCCCAAAGTTCTGTTTTGGCGAGCACCTATCAAGGATGGCCACCCACCCCCTCGTGTGCCGTGCCGGCCTTCATTGGCGCTACTCGCTAACAGCACTTGCCCCAACAGTCCTACGTGACTTTACCGAAAGAACCAAAGAGTATGGATTCTTGCAGTCACGAAAGCTTCAAATCAAGATCCAACAGTCCTGTTAAGGCTACACGGGGGCGAAATCTTTGTACGTGTGTGCGAGTGTCCGATCTCCCACTTATTTAAGATGCAGAATCGACCACGGACTTTTACCCCCTGAGCTGCTGTTAACAGGGTGGAGTCCAAATGTCTTGTGACCCCCCCCCCCCCCATTTAATTCCAAACCACGAGGAACGCCAGTGGTGATGATCAATGTCAGATTATCCCAGTAGCAAAAGTAGCTACATATGCTCCGGGCCCCGCACTTTCAAGGGCCCCGAGCTAAATGCTTTCAATTCCAGCCTATTCCCTACTATAATCACCCAGTTAATGTCTGTCCGTCCCGCGCGTGACGTCACTCCCCATGAGGGCCCCCCCCCTCATTAATATTCATGAGTGGGTGGATTTTTACACGAACGCAGAGGAAGGTCGAGCTGAATTACCGTAAATAGTTGATTACGCAAAGTCGCTTCAAATATGACGCTTCTTTACAGAAAATGACGGTAAAGAATCAATCGACGCAGCACAATGCTGCATCCGTGCGTGACGTCACTGCAAAAGAGCCCCCCCCCCCCTTCATTAATATTCATGCCCGCGTGGAAATTTACACTAACGCACAAGGAGGTCGTGCACTCCACATGCCGCACCCCTCCCCAATAACCATGAGTGGGTGACGTCACTCCACATGCCGCACCCCTCCCCAATAACCATTAGCGGGTGACGTCACTCCACATGGGGCAACCCCCCCACTCATTAATAATCATGAGCTGAACAATTTTTCTATTGAATATTTCAGATTTACTGCAATAAACACCCGTCCTTGGCTGGGCAAACAAGCTCGTGTTCCCCATGTACCTTTTGCTTAACAATGCTCTTAACACTCATTGGAAATTTAACCTGTATTTTTTAAATCATTATTATTAACTTGGTGTACATTTAGAGTCTGAATATTCAAAACTGAGTTTTTGTTGAAATGCATTATCAACTACATCTTGTCGATTGGTCAGTCGACTGCACTGGGAAGCTTCATTTTTGGCAATTAGGATTGCTGAATTTACGGTACAACGTAAATTAATATGTTTATAATACAGCAATTATAAGGTTGTGTCTGTATCGTGACAGTATAATGCTCAAGCTTACATCACATACTGGTAGGAACCCACTGGTTCCACCAGCCCACATGGGATTATTGTGTCCGTCCATCCGTCGTGCAGGGAGGGGAGAGTGGGGAGGGGCTGGGTGGGAGGGTGGGAGGGGCTGGGTGGGGAGGGTGGGGCTGGGTGGGGGGTGGGAGTGGTGGGGCTGGGTGGGGAGGGGCTGGTCACCCCGTGGTGCCCTTATAAAACTCACACGTTAAACCTACTCACGCAGGCTTGTGCCCGCCCTCACAGTCGGGCATATTTGCGGAATACACCACGCCGCCGTTGACCCTGGCCATTGACCGAGCAACCCAACGTTCCTACCAGCTCCCTCCGCAGGAATGTGTTACCCAAACCATAACTTTGTCCTGAGCAGCGATTAATTCAATTCAGTTGCCTCATCACAGTTGAGCGAGTGACTCACGCTCGAAAAGTTGCGAGTTCAAATCCTGGTTCGGGGTTGATTCAGCCCATCATCGCTCCAGGGTCAATATAGTCAGTACTTGTTTGTGGAGAAGCCAACTATTAGCCGTCACATGGATTGACGCGCCCCCATCATATGAATGTGACATTTCGACCAGTGGCTCAGGGCCGCAAACAGAGAAGCACTCAATACTCATTTGAGCAATAAATCAGACTTGTTACGGGTGATGAGTGACCCAACAACAGTGGTAAAACACGACATCATTGATGAGAGCTTAGACAAAGCATTTCAATTGCATGGACTTGATCGAACTCATTTCATGGACGCTCAAAGTAGCTAACACATACCAAAAGCAAACACTACCAAAAACAATTCAAGTGTATAGACATGTTGGTACAAGCTTTATTTAAACGGGCAGAATCTGTATGCAGACTGGAAAACGCATAATTAATGTTCACCTGATTACAACCATCCTGTCCACACAGCAGTTGCATAAATAGGACAAGGTGTCCATATGGCAATGACAATACAGCTCTGGCATTAGAATTAAAATCTGCCCAGCACCCAATGTGGCAGTTGATTCCTGGGTGCTGTAAAATAACAGAAAACACATTTCTACAGTGATTTATATAAAAAATAACTAAAGCTCACATTTACAAGTGCTTTTGTCAATATGCAGATTAAACATTGAATAATAAATAGGTACAAAAAGAAAACGGAATACATGACTAAAACAAAAAGCAAAATGATTATGCATTTGCAGCCTTAAAAAACACACAATTCCATCACACTGCTTTTAAGTTCCCTCTAATCATTCATCCTTGTCCTCAGCTTGCACATTTACAATACATACATTAAAAGCTACAGTTGCATTACATTGGGAAAAATAATCTGGTATCAAGGCAAGTGGCAAGTGTCCATTTTACTGACACCTGGCCCAACACCCACATGAGACGACAGCATGACTTCAAGGCAATTAAAAAGTAAAGCATTTCACTTTCAATACAAGTCTGTAATGCTTTAAGCATCATGTAGTCTAGGCTGGCGGTCAGGGGCACTGTTTACAGGATTGGTGTTTGGTAATTTCAGTAAACAAAGAGGTGGCAGCATTCTGCCTTAACATGATAACATGAGCACGTTTGAAAAGCCGAGGACTTTGTACTTCAGCGTCAAAGCCGACGTTAACGCTACCTTCACTGATCTGGACAAAACATTGTTTTACTGTAGATTAAAGGCAATCAGTGGTCTCTCCTCCCGCTTCTGCCACCGACTCTTTGTCCCATCACCGCCTTCACCGCCGTCATCCCCGTCGGGGGGTCCGTCATCCCCGTCGGGGGCTCCGTCATCCACATGAGGTCCGTCATGCCCGTGGGGTCCGTCATGCCCGTGGGGTCCGTCATGCCCGTTGGGTCCGTCATGCCCGTTGGGTCCGTCATGCGCTTCGGGTCCGTCATGAGTTTCCTGCATAAACTTTCCCTCTTCGCTCTGGCTCGTGTTCATGTCCACGTCTGCCGGGCTCTCCGTGTCGATCGACGACGTCAGCGCGTACGCAGCGTCGGCCGCGTTGGCCTCGGTGCCCAGCAGAGGCCTCAGCGAGCCTTCTTCCGGGGAACAGGTTGCCGTGCCGCTCTCACTGCCGCTGTTCTGGTCCATCTCGTCCAAAAACACCAGCTGGGTGTAAGAGGGCGGCGCCGCCACCGCGGGCTGTGTCCCTTCTCGCTTGACTTCTTCCCGGCATCCGCGTACACTTTTGCCGTTGTCCGCGAGGCGACTGGCAACGGGCACCGCCTTCCGCCTGCCCTTTTTGCCCTCGCTTCGGTTCAATCCGGTGTCGAGACTCGCGTCGTTGCGGAGATCGATGTACGAGTGCCGCACTTGAGCATTGACGGAGCCGTCGAGTGCCACGAACCAGGCCTTGGGATGCTTCAGGGGCTTCACTTCCTTCAGCTCCAGCAGGGCGGCAGTGCCGTGTGGCACCGGCTGCAGTTCCCCATTCATCGCAGTTGCTACAGGGACCTCCAATCCGTTTGTGGGCATATCTAAACGGCGTGACTCCCACGCTTGCACCCCATCTTGCAAATGTTGGCTGGAAGACTGAGATGCGTCCGCTGCCTGGGTCTGGTTATTGTTAGAAACCCATGACGGCTGCTCCGACGAAATAGCACCGTTGGCACAGAGTAAAGGATGGTCTGTGGGCAGCGTCACACACTGGGAAGGGATCACCAAAGTTTGCACCATCTTTCCATTTATTTTGTCATTAACGTGGCTTACAGAGCCAAAGAGAAAGAGCCGTCCCGGCCTGGGCGGTGATCCCAGAATGCCTAAGTGATCGACGGATCTCGTCAGAAAGCATTCGGGAACCTTCCGGTCCATCAGCAGATCATCGGCTGAGTGAGCGAGCGGCGTTGCTGCCAAATTCCCCGAAGTCTGCCTGGAGTCGGATGCAGCATCATCATCTGCCAGTAGAGAACGATGGCTCGCAGCTGTCGCTGTCAATACCGATGTCATGGCTATGTTTTCAGTGGCTACCGGCGCCGAGCGAACGCTTCGGTTGCTGTCCTCAGCCAGGGACCTGCATGCCCTGGCACTGCTCAAGTTCTCCAACAAGACATCTGAAGCCGAACCCAGCAACTGCAGACTCTCCGACCAGCCGTCAGCGCCTCGCAGCGCGCATCCCATTTTTACTGGCAGGGTGTCGGCCGATCCCAGAAACGTGTCACCATGGTCCCCGATTGAAAAATCAAATTCCGGAGAGGCGGCTGCCGAGCTTGAGCACAGCTTAAGCATTTGCGAGCTCATCCCTGCTTCCTCCTGGCTAGATGTGGCAGTGCTAATGGCACCCAGGTTGGCGTAGGAGGTGGACGTACCCTGCTCCCGCCTGGAAAGTGGCAACGTGTCTGCTGGCGATGATAGTGGCAACTTTCGCAGCCTCTCGCTCGACCGCTTCCTCCTGTGTCAGACAGACAATTCACACTTAACTGTGTCCAAAGTATATCACATTGCTCTTGACACTGAATTGAGACACGAATCACTGAACTGAGGGCTTGTAACTACCTGCAGTAATACATCACCAGGCAGAGCAGGAAGAGGATGATGAGCAGCACTCCGCCAAGAATGGCGAGCAGTAGGATGGTGTGGTAGCTCGGCATGTCCCGTTTCGTATCAGACGTAGCGATTACTGTGAAAACGAACATGCGCAGACATCAACATAGGCAATCATCGAGAAAGCAGGCGCCGCAGCATTTAAAAGTTTACTATACCCATCCGAACCACCTTTTTTATTTGCACATTTTGAGAATTAATACAATATTATTTTTATAGCAGGGATGGGGAACAGTCCACAGACAGAATGCTTCATTTCATACAGCCCCTGGCCACATGAGGCTAGATCATTTCAAAAACGGCCCAGAAACGATATTCATTCGTCACTGCAAGCATCTTAGCCAGACTAATTTTGGTACAATATTTTAAACATGACAACACTTTCTATTTTAACAGCCTCAGTCACCTGTTCTCTTTAAACAGTTCTCAGCACATATTCAACGCATAGTCCTCGTGTGAACAAGGTTTAGTGACAATTCATGTGGCCCAGCAAATGTATGTTGAAAATGTCTTATCTATAAGGTAAAATATTCCCCCCACCCCTGCCTGAAAGTGTTTTTTTTATATATATAAAAAGGAAGCATTTTTTTTTTAAACACAGGATGGTCGTACTTGCAGTTCTGTCCGGAGAGGCAAGGAGCCAGCAGCCAGCGCTGAAGGCCGTGTATATCCACAGCAGGGTGTCTCCCGAGAGCTTGATCTGTGCCAGCCCCGTTTTCCTCCACACGCCTGACGCACACACGGCACGACACCAGAGTTGCCGCAGCCAACTTTCCAACATCGCTGGCTCACGTGTCAATTGTTAGCCACGGATTACATTTCACGTTTTATGCGTGGACCGTCTGCCGGAATGTATTGTTTTTTAGTAACAAAAATGTTATTCCAAATGTATGATCGGCACGTCCTGTGACAAAGAACTCATTAGGAACATTGATGCAGAAAAATCTTTGTCACGTGGCAGTTAAAAGAAATTGTATTCTCAAAACTACAACGCACCTTAATCAAGTGAAAAAATACATTTGATACAATGGTTTTTGTTGCAGGCATTGGGTAAGCTGAGACCATCAGCTCGCTACTCTTGAGAATCAGATTTAATCACGGGTTGCTGTCAGGATATGAATCCACGTTTCTCGGAGTTGATGGCTCATTGGTCTCATGTAACACTTTGATGCTTTTATAATTGGCTTACAGGTAATACATCTGAAATTATATACTTATTTAAAAGTGTTTAAACACCAAAAAATAATACATAATATGTGTATAGTATAAGTATGCAGTCTCCATAACAGCGAACATAGTGCATAAACAAAACAATATGCCCGTAATTCCTAAATTAATTGAATTGCGTTACTGTGCATTGAACGCGAATGCACTAAATTATCAGAAGAGCCATACGGTCCTTCAAACCACATGGCAGCTAATGCTTCCTTATCCCTTCAACAATCATGGCGTGACGTTCGCCGAATACAGTATTAATATTAAATAACCTTGCGTGCAGCATTCCACTCCCAATGCCCTTAGTGAGATTTTTGTTGTATTGGTTTCCATTCGCAAGTAAAATTCTCAAGCGGAAAAACTCGTGAGAACCGCATGTATATCTTAATAATGAAATCCGAGTGAAAAATAAGTACAGTACAGCACTAGCAGTGGCATTTGCAATTTCACAATTCAACACAGCCAAGCAGCCATGAATGCCTGTGTGTCACAGTCAAGACGGGCGGTCGGTCGATAGTGTGCAGCTCGCGACTCTTACTGAAAGGTACCAGACAGAGGTCGCAAACGGGTTTTGATTCCTTACCCGTACCCGTACCTGGCCGCACCAGGGTCGCAAACGGGTACCCGTACCCGGCCGGTTACGGGTACGGGTAACCGTACGCTACCCGTACCCTACCCGAAATGAGTGACAAACGATTACTCACCGGTGACTCACGGCCTACCCGTACCCGGTCGGGTATCGGGTAGGGTACGGGTATCGGGTACCTGGTTGCGACCTCTGGTACCAGAAGAGCCAGTGATGAGCAAGAGGGTCGTCACAGGTTTCATCAGCAGCCTCTTGCACAAGATTCCAAGAAGCAATAGTGGACACTTACCGTTTTATCTACCCGTGACGACTAACAGCTGCTGGTAAATAACGAAACACTCTTGAAAACGTTTAAAAGGCGCTGCACAGAGGTAGCCAATGCTGTAAAGGAAATGGTGACTCAGGGGTGACGAGGGCTTGGAACAGCATTGGAAACTCGTGAATATGAATGAGTTGAAGTACCAACCAGGGAAGTTCACTGGATTTGATTGCAGTGACGTTTTAGGTTAAAGGCTGACGTTTATACAACATGCCCAGATGTCACAGCCGATTGCATGTTCACAAGTTATCTGATAAAATATCATTATAATAATTATTTGTTTTCAGAGTAAATGGGAATAGTAACTTTACCCTAAAAAAATAAATGGCTCTTACTCTGGGTTAATGTGGCATACAACTGCGGTTACATCGGTTGCCAAACTGTCCCAAATATTCTCACAATGTATATCTATTAGGCACGTAATCATGGATTGATTCATTAACTGCATTTTTTTATGCTGAAGACAAAATATGAAAGCATGCATAAAATATTCGGTGATTCTTCTATTTCTAGAATTTTTCAAGAAATGCCAATGGATTAGAGTAAAAAAACAAGACTACAAATAAGCATACGCAAGACAAAAAATAAATGCAACTCATCAAATTGCATGGGAGAGGAAGTGGTGGGTGGTTATGAATCATTACATGCCTAATATCTAACTGGAATGTGTACATGTACAGCCCTTTTGTCAATACACTGCTGAATGAGAGCCTTCCCATTCCAATGTGATCCAATGTGAGTTTTGCCGGCTTCACCATACTTCACCATGCTGGTCAATGCGGGCTCAAGGTGGGGGGGAGCATCGTACAATGTAATGGGTTTTGCTGTACAGTACTGCCCTCTGCTGACCGCAACAAAGCCGTACAACTGGCAAGCAAACCATGGTTTACATTACAGTAATCCCTCGCCACTTCACGGTTCAAGTTTCGCGGCCTCAGTGCATCGCGGATTTTTCGAACTGATTTAAAGGCCTCATTATACCTGTGCAGTAACACCATCATCATCATTCATCATCACATTCATTGAACTGCACAGGTCTGTCATCGTCGTCATTGTCATCGTCATTGTCATCGTCGTCGTCGTCATTACTGGAGTCAAGTCTCAAGATACTGAGTGTGGAACACCATAATACGTATCGTATGAGAGAGAGTGAATGTATAATATTAAGGTTTTATAATTAAATAGATTTAAGTAAAATATATATATAAAGTATAAATATACATATTTTAAACATTCTGGTACCCACACACACATATACGGAAATTCCTAGGGGGCCAATCTTACTTCGCGGATTTTCACCTATCGCGAGGGGTTCCGGTCCCCATTAACCGCGATAAACGAGGGATCACTGTATATCAAAGCACAGCCGATAGCCCCACCGATGCTGGAGTCAAGCTCCCAAACGATGCCGGTGTCTCCGTCGCGAAGGCTGGCACCAGGCGGGAGGGCGAGCGACAGCTGGACAGGTCCAGCCACCGTCACGTTGGATTCCCGGCTGCCGTGTTTCGACAGCCGGAGGCAAGCGGCACCCGACGGGATCAACTTCAGCGGACCGTTTGTGCCTGCGAGCGCAAGCGGCACGCGTGTCAGCGCGGCGGACCGTCGACGCTGGGATCGATGTACGGGGTCACAGCGACGAAAAGCAAATAGGTTCCTCAAGTTTTTGTATTGTAAATGAACGATAAGGGGATTTTTCGATGTAAAGCTTTCGTGACTGCAGGGATTCATCTTCTTGGTTCTTTCGGTAAAGTCACGTAGAATGAAAATAATAAAATAATAAAAATAAAACATAATAAAATAATTCTCACGACGTTTCGGCCACAACGCAAGCAGCCGTCCTCAGGTGAAGAACAGGTCTGTCAGAAAGACGGCGTCGTGAGAATTATTTTATTATGTTTTATTTTTATTATTTTATTATTTCCATTCTACGTGACTTTACCGAAAGAACCAAGAAGATAAAGGGATTATGAATAAGATGGGGACATCTCAGTGTCAGAACACACCACACTGTCAAAAGTTAGCTTTACAATAATTAGTTGTGGAAAAAAATATATTATAGCATCGCCCCCTGCTGACAGACAACACCCAATTTCAGGATTGTGCTGCGTACACCTTGTGCCGAGTAGGGACAGCTGCCACTTAGGGGTTCCCTAGGTGAGACTGCCATAAAGGCAACGGAATGAATGGTTGAGATGAGATGCAAGACACTTTGACAAGCATTATTAAATTGTACTATAAATATCCTTATCTGAATAAAAAATCAGTGTCAACCACTGCTGAATGACAGCCTCTCTACACCATGTTGATCATGGGGGTCGTATGAAATGCTTCACCACATTGGCCACTGGAGGGGTGAGCTGTGGCTGAGAAAATTACTGCGCCACCACTCCGACCCCATGTGTTCTTCTTGAACGGCAATAAATAACCATAATTCCAACTTTTTTGCAAGTTAACGGATGGTTAACACACATGCAGTTACATTGCCAATGCGGAACACCAATCTAAGTCACTTTACTGATATGCTACATGCCACCAACACAGAACAACATATAATTCCAGATCCAGCATTCACCGAAATTGATAACCATACACTTTACCACTGTCTATGTTGTTGCAGTTGTGCAGTATAACTCTCCAATGAGTTTTCGGGTTGAACCGCGTATTTTTTGGACCGTCCAACATTTAACCCCCAATTCAACATTTTCACCCACAATTCCTGAAGAAGCTCCCACAGAATGTCGAGGAACTGTTCAACAAGCTTCCATCACGTCGGGGCGAAACCTCAAGACATCATGCTGAAAAACATGCCCGTAAATCAGCAAATGCATCGGAGGGCTATACGATGTACGTTGTTCACCAGTGGCGTTGACCTCCCTTCCCAGCGGGAGAGGGAAGAGGTGGAGCTCATCTGCAGTCGTGGACACGGTGAGGTACGCTTCCAGGTCACTGTAGCTGGTGTTTGCCGGCAGCACGAGAGAACCGGGGTGAAGCTGCGCTGCAGAATGCCACTTGTGACCTGCAATGCAGAACACAAGTTTTGACTCGTGCCAGTTTTGGGCACTGTGGTGGCGAGATGTTAACTACCTCGTCTGACGCCTGGATATTTGGAGTTTGCATGTCTCTTTCCCCGTGACCGCATGGATTGTTCTTCGGGTCCGCCGGTTTTTCCCCTCCACATTTAGAAACAATATACATTTATAGTATTTGGGTGCTATGCATTTCCACATGATAAGCCACTTCATTCAGCTATTTGTGGGCAGGTCGCTTCTGAAACAGAGCTATATAGCTTAATGGGCCTTACCTGGTCAAAGGAAAATAGTTTAGTTTTTAAATAAATTTAGGTTCAAATTGGTGTTGATTATTCGATTCACAAGTGTGTAAAATCAATAGAATAAAAAGTGTAAATCTTTCAAAAAAATGTATCCTACTCAAAGAGGAAAAAAATGTACATACTTTATATGTTGTGAAAAAATATTAAGTTAGGATGAAGTGGCGACGTTTATAGTAGAATTAAGTTACACGTGATGAACGAAATTTAATCATAATGATGTCAAACCATTAACAGGCCACGCTCAGAGGGTGTGTGCAAATTATGTACATACATGGTTAATATTACTTTTGAAAAATGTTAGCATAGGGAAACATATTTTGAGGAATATTACATCAATAAAGTTAAAACCCCTAACATAAATGTTTTTTTACGGATAAACAATTGTAATGAATGTGGGTGAAGGAGATGTTGACAAGTGAGGTTACATGAGAATGTGATTTTCAATTAATTGTGTAATATCAATAACATGTTGCCGAATTATAAAAACCTACACAAGGGACGGCTTGCCAAATATGTTTGAAAACTGAAAATGTAAAGTGCATACAGTAGAAATGTTTTGCATCGATTTAATAATGTATATTACATTATTTTACTCATTATATCTGTAGCGTACATATACCTGTCAACCCCTTATCAGTGCCTATCTTATTACAGACCAATTCCGACCTTATTGATCACCTAGTGCCCTTATAAATCTCAACGTTCATCATACAAAGTCTCATCACAAGAGAGAAACACAGCCACAATTTTTTGTTGTTGCCTATTTTGAAACGGCTGTCCGCCACATAGACCTTAACAATTCACCATGCAATGTATGATTAGGACACAGACTGAACTTTAACCCTATTGACCGACATGGTAATAAAACATAACACGTACTAAATGGTAGTAGGTTTTTACCCTTTAAACTGGTACAAAACTGACACCTTTATACAAGGCATCATGTTTGCAATAACCACAACACAAGCAGTCAAAATGCAAACAAAAAGAAACAACTCTGATAATGATATGCACTGTCCTTGAAGTTGATTGGTCCACACCTGAGACAGCATTAATGCTTACCCCGAGCTCTCAATACTCTGATAGTGCGCTGTCTTTGAGTTGTACGCCTTTTGGCGTCATCTGGTCCAACACCAATGGAGACTAGGCTCTAAGGAAAGCTGTCTCGGGTGTGGACCAATCAACTTAAAGGACAGTGCATATTATTATCATTATCATAGTTGTTTCTTTCTATTTGCAGTTTGACTGCTTGTGTTGTGGTTATTGCAAACATGATGCCTTGTATAAAGGTGTCAGTTTTGTACCAGTTTAAAGGGTAAAAACCTACTACTATATTTTGCCACTGGTAAAGGAGGTCTCATAACGTGCTAAATGGTCAAGGTCATACCTCTAACTCTGGAGGAAACTGTCACCAGGTCCCTGTAGACAGTCAGCTGGGCAGGATCCTCAGGAAGTAGCTGAACGTTTAAAGTAGCCGCCACTGTAATGCAAAAACAACGCGTTATAGTGAGACAACAAATTGCCGCAAGTCAACATGGCAACAACCCACCAACTTTATATGGGAATTGGCGCAATGTGGACCCGCAGGATTGGGTGGCTTCTGATAGCTAAGACGATACAGAACACTTGTTGTTTTGGTAATAAGCCAAACATGCCCCGAAGAAGAGCAAATACTTCTTGCAACGTGTAATGGGCTCACATAGCAAGCAGGGCTTTTTTGTAATCATTCCTTTCTGGCTTGTTTACTGAAAACCTCAACAAGTGCAAGTCATTTACGAGGTAGGCAGCACAAAGAAGTCCTTGTTGTGTCAATTTCTTTATTTAATATTGTGACTTACATGGGACGTTGATTATCTGCCACTGGAGGGAAGAAGGCACATAACCGGAGCCTTTCACCAACAGGAGGAGGAGGGACGGGGGGTTGGGCAGAGTGGCGTAGGCTCAAGGACAGCTGGGCAGCCCCCGCAAGTGATGTCACCCGTGCGGCCTGCACCGTCTGCTCCTCCAGGGCCCAAACGGAGGCCCCCTCGACGGGAAAACGCGTCAGGACGTCCCTGACGTGCACCGTGACAGCCACCGCATCTGCAACGATTTAGTTTACAACGAATCTGGTAAATGCCGTCTTTGGCAGGCGCCGGACAGTGCAATGGGAGTGGAAATTAGCACACGACCCCCGCCTCGGCGTAATGGTACAAAGAAGTGTCCTGCGCGTGCTAAGGACCACATCGTATGCATGTGGAACTTCTTTCGCACCGGAAAATTCTTCCTCACGCCACTTCTGGCAGAACCGACTCCGCTAGAGGGTATCTGGCCTATTCTTCCACGCGAGTCAGGTGCCTTGGAAGAGGTAGCAGTATCCACACTTTACCCTACTCTACACGCTACCCTGCCGATGAACTATGGCGTACCCATTTATACTGCTGGGGAAGAATTTCAGAAACCTGCCCATTGTTTCAACTGCCGCGCCGGGAGAACGAATCAGACTGGTGACCTCTGGAGTGCAACTCCAGTGTGCTGACCATAACACCAGGGCAAGCCCGTAGCTTGAGGTCAACTTAACTTGGGATGCTTACCCTGTTTTTGAAGTGGGATAAGCGGAAGATTCAATCGGCAGCAGCGGTGCGCGCGAGCACTCAGGATGCTGCATCAGGATGAGATATTGCTCTGCAGTGTGCTGCTTGCCAGTGGGGTGCTGATCAGGCACTACGCAGCATTAGGTGCATGTGCACCCTCCAGGGATTTTAACAACAACAACAAAAAGGGCCACAGCGCAAAAACTACCGCCATCCCATTCAATTACCGTGAGGCCAAAATGGATTGAGTCGCCAGCATTACGTCTGGAGAATATTCAAGAAGTCAAAAGGCAAGCAAGGATGTTAACAAAGCCATGTAGATTAATAGATTAAGTAACCGGAGTGAAAAAGGGGGGGGGGGGGCTTTCTCCAAGTAAAACTGGGGGCATTCTGCTATTAAAGAAGTGGAATCAATAGAGCCTAGCTTATTATCCCTATGGAGGGAAAGCGAGAAAGGTCCTTGGGAAAGGCTGCCCGGGGGATGAGTCTGCTACAGATTCAGGGCGACCCAAGGATAATGGGGAAGGCAATTTTCCTTGAACCTAATTACAGCAATGACAAGGTCATTGTTGGAAGCTTGCTTTATAGGCACCGATTTACATTTTGTAATTGCGGTGTAAAACAATCTCGCTCAGTAAATCAGGATTACTGCAGAACATAGAGTTTATAATCTCGAACACGAGTACATAATAATTAGAAACACTTTATATGCACATATATTAGTTAGTTCATTTTGCTTTTGTTGGTGCATTACAGCTCAATGAGATGGCTACTTTAGTTTTGGTCCAAAAAAGGGATGTGGCATAAGGGAATGCCTTTCAAAAATGTTAATTGTTCCACAACAGTATAACCAATGTTTACAAATTGAACATACTTAAATGAGCTTTATAGATTAATTAACACGTATCATAAACAATTCAGCCAAGTGGGCAGACGGTTGGCCGGCAGATGGCGCTTTTCAAATCTTTATGACTGCGAGGGCCCAACAAAATCAATGGAGTGGAATAAATGTTGGGTTCTGCGAATGTTTTTGTTGTCGTTTGCTTGAAATCTTTGTTTTGAGCTTCCAACGCGAGCATTTTAACGCAACAAAACACAACGTAGTTCAAATTGGTGGACCACACAATTGCTGGAAATCTTCTCAAAAATAAATCACACACGCACACACTACAAAGGACAAAGATGAGACCACGTGAGCCATGCCAGTAAGCAGCCACATTAACCAGGGGGGCAATACACCAACACAAAAGCAGACAAACACAACTTATAAGACACAAACACACACACACACACACGTGGGTACAGTTACGCAAAGAATCACAACACACAACAAGGAGGCAACCATCATCACATCAGATGAATGAAATTGATGAATGGGCGAACGAAGAGAGAGCCCTGGCAATTGAAACGCAAAGCAGAAGACACTTTCATCATCCATTCATTCATTCGAAACGCTGCAAAGCGCTTAATTAAACACGTGGATGGATTCGCCCAGTCCCTCGGGACCAATGTCAATCTCCATCTCCTCCACACACACAAAAAAAACCATCTGCGACCTCTATTCGGCCTCCATCCATCCATCCTCTTTACCACCCACCATACCCTCTCTTCATGCAATGGCAGTACAGTAACACATCCAAGCCGCGCAGTGCTGTATATTTTGTTTTGTTCGAAGCTAACACTTCTACCAATTGAATGTCATTTAATCGGCGCTGTGTCACGCTGCCTCGCATGCAAATGTGCAACACAAAAGTTGCTCGATTGGACAATTCTTCGTCCATTGATGCTGGTCTCCCCCCCCTCCTTAGAATACAGGGATGCTCAAAAAATCTCAATGCAAAGCTCACGGGACGACATCCGTGTCCCACACAGTACTTATATAACCATCCCATATCTCTGGCAGCAACGTGGACGTTTCCCATAGACATCCACATGGGCCAACATTCTAAACCTCATAGAGCCCTCGCTCCAGCCTCAAATCATAAACATCCCACGTGGAGCTTCTTCTGGTCCATGTGGCCATCAGACCAACCACGGCTTACAGCATCCACTTGGATCCCTGAACTCCCTTGAACAACACTTGAACAACACACGCACACTGGACATGATGCCCATATCCTCACCACCTGGTTAACGGACGACTCGACCGGGACCTTCTGACTCCACACGATTGTCCACCAATGACCCCCTCACAGAGTACCTCCTCCCAAACCTCTACCCCCCCCCCCCCCGACAACCTGGTCAAATAGTTAAAGGATTAGGGGGTTGTGGGGGTCCACTGCTCACCACCAGGGCCCGCTCCATCCTCTGCAGCCACGGCGAGAAACAGCAGCAGCAGCGGCGGCATCAGCGGCAGCACGAGAAGCATGGTGGCTGCACCAAGCACCTCCTCCTCCTCCCTCACTCCCTCCCCCTCCTCCCTCACTCCCTCCCCCCCACCACCCTCCACAACAACAATAACAACAACCACCACGCCGGTAAAGAAGCCCTCCTCGACTCGACTGCTTCTCAAGCTGCTGCTGCCACGAGAGTCCGAGGGGAGCGCCGAGGCTGTTGTCGGGAGCCGTTACCACCACCACCACCCCCACCCACCCCCAGTGGCGGCGGTGAATCTGTGGGCCACGCATGCGCGACACCCCCTCCCCTCCTCCCCACCCCTTCTACCTCCCCCTCCTCCCAACCCCCTCCCCTCCTCCTCTCCCTCTCCCTCCCCTCCCTCCCCCTCCTCCCCCCCTCCTCCCCACCCCTCCCCCTTCCTCCCCCCCACCCCCTCCCCCTTCCTCCCCCCCACCCCCTCCCCCTTCCTCCCCCTTCCTCCCCTCCCTTCCTCCGCTTCCCCTCCCTCCCCTTCCCTTTTTTTTTTTTACGATCAGTGGAAACAAGAAGATGCTCGGTGTATTCGGCACTTTGTTTCGGTCATCATTTCGTAATTTTTTTTTTTTTTTAAACGGGGCTTTATGTTGCCCTCGCTCGCTCGCTCTCTCGCTCACTCGCTCTCTCGCTCGCTCTCTCGCTCGCTCTCTCGCTCACTCTCTCGCTTGCTCGCTCTCTCGCTCTCTCTCACTCGCTCTCTCTCTCGCTCATTCTCTCGCTCACTCTCTCGTTATTTACGCCGCCCCCCTCGCAGTCCTATGGCCTCCGACGGGTAGCTCATAACAGCATGCAGAGCTCCCCGTCATCTGCCACGGAGCACACGGCCTCCTCCATCGCCCACTGCTCCTTGAAGGCCGGCACGGCGTGGGTCAGCCGCGCATGGCGGAACTCCAGCCACACCCTGGCTCCGACCAGAGCGCGGAAGATGCCCAGGCTGCTGGCCGGACGTTTCCCCTCCAGGGCCACCTTCCTCGCCCTGTAAATGGCGAGCTTGGCGTAGCCGACAAGCACGTTGACCAGCCCCTGAAGATGTTGGGATCCGTCGCCCTTTCGGTATCCAAAGATGAGGACCGTCGGGGAGAAGTGGAGGCTGAACTTTAGGAGGATGTTTCTCAGGACCTTGAACAGCGAGTCCAGGCTCTTGCACTCCACGTATTGGTGCGCCACCGTCTCCACTTTTCCGCAGAACCGGCACTCCGGGGGCGTGTCAGTGAAGCGCGCCAGGGAGGCGTTGGTGGTGACGGTGCCGTGGGCGATGCTCCAGCTGAGGTCGCCGATGCGGTTGTACGTCGGGCTGGAGTAGAGTTGCCTCCAGCGAGGCCTCTCCGGAGAGATGCAGGGCAGGGCTTTCCTCCAGGCATGGTCCTTATGGCTCCTCAGGGTGTCCTGTTGGTGAAACCGGACCATGTAGGAGTAGAGCACCTTCCTCTTGACATTTGCGAAGGCCACCTCTGGTAGGTCCTCCAGCCGGCACAGGTTGTGATCCGCCTTCGCTTGTCGGCATTGGCGACGCAGTGGCACGACGGAGAGCTCCGGTGGAGGGGGACCGAGAGGGGCCTCGTCATCCCCAACGCCGATGGGGGGCGTTCTCCCCGCTGCCGCTGAGAAGGCCACCTTGGCTTCGGCCAGGATCCGGGCAGCCACCCGGAGCGATTGCAGCCCTGTCTTTGCGGCCATGTCTGCTGGTCCGAGCCACCGGCCCCGTGTTCCAGGCTCCACCAGATCTCCCATCCTGGTGAGCCGCGCGTTGGTGAGGCGCCTCTCCATGCCGGGGGTGGCGGTGGTGGACGGCAGCTTTGTCTGCGGGTTCCTGAAGATCGGTTCGAAGACCAGATCCTCGGCCGATTGCGGCTGGTTCAGCCTCCTGACGGCGAGGGAGCTCCACGTCTGCAGGACGCTCCTGTAGAAAGGTGGCAGCTGTCCCAGTGGGAGGCCCTGCAGGTCCATGTAGAATAGTTGTTTGGAGCACTGCAGACCCCCCAGCTGTTTGAGTAGGAAGGAGGCCGTGACGCTCCAGGCTGGTGCAGGGGTGGTGGCGTGCAGGAACTTTTGTGCGGCCTGCAGTCGGAAGGTGGCCAGCTGACTCCGCACGCACACCAGCCCGTGACCGCCCTCGTCCAGTGGCAGGGCCAGGACCCCAGCCGCGACCCGGTGTCCTCTGCCCGACCAGAAGAAGTCGAGGACTCGCTTCTGAAGCGCGTTGACGAGGCTCATGGGGGGGTGCAGGGAGAAGAGTCGGTGCCACAGCATGGACGTCACCAGCTGGTTCACCACCAACGTCTTTGTCCTGAAGGTGAGGAACTTGCACAGGCGACTCCAGGTGCCCAGCCGCTCCTTCACCTTCCCCTCCAGCTCGACCCAGTTCCTTTGCGGTGGTTCCTCCTCTGGTCCCAGGAAGACCCCCAGGTGGTGCAGGGATGTCGTGCTCCAATTGATGGTTTTTGCCTTCTCCGGACACTCGGTCATGTCCCACGCTCCAACCAGCAGGCCGCTGCACTTTTGCCAGTTCATTTTGGATGAGGAGGCCTTCGAAAAGACCTCCTGACACTCGTGCAGCAGGGCGACATCATCCAGGGAACGAAGGATGAGGAGGATGTCATCGGCGTATGCCGTCAGGACCAAACTGACATTTGGTTCCCTGAGCACCAGGCCGCTGAGTCTCCGCCTTATGAGATTCAGGAAAGGCTCTAATGCCAGTGCATAAAGTTGGCCCGACAATGGGCATCCCTGCCTCACTCCTCGGTCGAATTTGACAGGGGCAGTGAGGGTGCCGTTGATCTTGATCATGCACTCCGCCTTGGTGTAGAGTAGGCGGATCGTTCGGACAAACCCATCTCCAAAACCAAAGGCCTTGAGGGTTCCCAGGAGGTATTTGTGGTCCACTCTGTCAAAAGCCTTTTCCTGGTCAAGGGCCAGAAACGCGATTGGGATGCCCAACCTCTGGGACATCGCGATGAGGTCTCTGACCAGGAAGATGCCGTCGTGGATGGATCGTCCGGGGATGGTGTAGGACTGGTCCCTGTTTACGACTTGTGCAATCACCCCTTTCAGTCGCAGGGAGAGAGCCTTCGTCAATATTTTGTAGTCGGTGTTCAGGAGGGACACCGGACGCCAGTTTTGTAGGTGCCTCAGGTCTCCGTTCTTGGGAAGCAGAGTGAGCACCGCTCTCCTCCAAGACTGAGGCATCACCCCGGTGACAGAGGCTTCCTCCAGCACCTCTCTGTAGTCCTCACGTAGGGATGGCCAAAAAGCGGCGTAAAACTCCCCTGTTAGCCCGTCTAACCCTGGAGATTTATTTGGGGCCAGTCCTCCTACAGCTGCGTCAAGGTCATTCCTGGTGAGCTTTAGCTCCAGCAGCTCCTTCCCGTCTTCCTCCAGGGTGGGTAGACCGCTCCATGCCTCCGCCTGGGCCGCTCCCGATGTTTCTTCAGGGGAGAACAGGCTGCCGTAGAAGTCTCTGATGATGGTCGACTTCTGCTGGAGTTCGTGCGCCAGGACACTGTCACCATCAAAAAGGCACTCCATGTATTTGCGTCTCCCGTTCTGCCTCCCGAGGGAGTAGAAAAACGGGGATCCCGTGTCGAGGTCTGTGATGAGCTTCACCCGGGATCGCACAAACGCTCCCCTCGTCTGCTCCTCCTGTAGGCCTTTGAGACGCTCCCTAATCTCCTCGTATTCTCGGAGAAGAGCAGGGTCATTGTCCTCGGCGAGGCGACTCTCCAAATCGAGGACCCGGGCTTCCATGTCGGTGATGTCCGCGTTCTTCAGTCTGGTGCTCCCCCAGGTGTATTGTTGGCACAACAGCCTGGTGTGCACTTTGCCCATGTCCCACCATTGGGCCAGAGAGTCGAACTGCGTTTTGGTTTTTTTCCACTCTTCCCAGAAGTCCTCGAACATCTCTATGAAGGTGCCATCCCCCAGCAGCGAGTTGTTAAAATGCCAGTGGGACGCGCCCTCGCGGGCTCTCTCCAGCCTGACACGGAGCACGATGAGGTTGTGATCCGTGAAGGGTGCCGCCCTGATGCCAGACGTTATGGCGCACGTCACAAAGTTCTTAGAGATGTAAAATCTGTCGAGCCTGGACTGTGTCACCGAGCCATCGCGCCTCGTCCTCGTGTACGTGAACTGGCGTTGGCCAGGGTGATGTATGCGCCACACGTCCACCAAGGCGGCGTCCTCCAGTAGTCCCTGCATCTCCCTCTTCGGCCCAACTCCCCCCTGCTGCCTTCCCGAACGATCCAGGGCGCCGATTGTGCAGTTGTGGTCGCCACCCACAATCACGCACTCGTCGTCCGGGATCCCAGCCAGGTGCCTCCTCAGGAGGTGCAGGAACGGGATCTTCTCCTTGTTGTTGACCGGCGCGTACACGTTCAGTAGGTGGGTGGTGACATCGCCCACCCTGACCGTTACCGCGAGCAGCCTTCCCTTCACCACTTCGGTCTGGGTGATGAGCTCGGGATGAAACCCTTTAGCGAACAGGGTCGCGACTCCACAGGAGGTGTTGTCAAGGTGGCTGTAGAAGGAGTCCCCTCCCCACTCCTTTCTCCAGTCATCCTCGTCCTCGACCGTGAGATGCGTCTCCTGAATGAAGAAGACAGAGGCAGCGTGTTTCCTCGCAAGAGACATCGCGGAAAACCTCCGCACTGCCTCCCTGCAGCCGTTCACATTTAGGGAGGCGATGTACATAGGCATTGGTTTTTGCTTGCCTCCATGTCCTCCCACTTCCTAATTTGTCTGCGGAAATATCTCAGCTTTGCCCTCTCCTTGCCCCGGGACTTGAGTCCCTGATTGGCGAGGACTCTGTCGGCTTGAGTCACAGAGGCCTTTATTGCCTTGCTGTCCTTCCATCGAACCATGGCCATGTCCGCTCTGTCCTTCCTCAGGTTGGTGTCATCAAGGAATTTCCAGAGATCTTCCGAGGAGACCAGGCAAGTCTGAGAGTCAAGGACTGTAGACTCCTGGCTGCTGTCGCTCCCCACACTGAGGCAGTCGTCCCGATCAGAGTCGATTACCCCGGCGTCCGTCTCTGCTGGAAGAGCTGCAGCGGCTGGGCTGGCGCA